TGGAGAAACTGTGAGTGAGTAGTCTGGGGCCATTAGTGGCCGTTTTAGTAAGGAACCGGAACCAGGGCGAGTGAGACATGATCCGGAATTGGATGGATGCGCCTTTCCTTCAAAATAAAAGCACCAAGCTAATAAAAATGCTGTGAAACTTTAATTTAAAGAATATATTTTTCAAGAAAAGCCCCAAGCCATTAAGTTAATCGATTTTCTTATACCCCTCATCACCCCAAATCAATGGTGCGCCAGAATTTAAAGTTTTACTTTGGTGAACACTTTTACTTTGGTGAATTTGGTGAATTCCACATCCACTCTCTAGACCGGAACTAGAATTTAGACAAAATTCAGAGTGAATAGAAACCAGGCTCCTCACTTTACGTGAAGAACCTGGTGACGTGAGGCTAGTGAGTGAGTGAGTGAGTGAGTGAGTGAGTGAGTGAGGGGGCGGAGCTGTGCAGAGAGAAAGAGAGGAGAGATGAACACTGGTATGCCGTATGTGGCACAACTTGACCCTATATCGATAAACGGTGTTGACTAAATCTATATCATGCTTGAAAATATATCATAATATTTAAAAAACGATGTCCTTGCCTGGGTACACAAATAAACTACTGTAATGTCAAATGCTGGATTGTTTAGCAGTGTTGCATAGTTGCAATAACATTAATTTTCCACTAGTATGATTGACAACTTTTAAATTAGTAATGTTGGCCTGTAGCTCCTAATTTTTTTTCCTATAAATAGCTCACAATGAAAAAGGTTTGGCCACCCCTGCTCTAATTAATCACACCTGTGCTTCTCCTACTGTGACAAGCCAAAAGGCAAATGGCTCATTTCAGTGAGTGCTTACCTCTTCGTCCCACTCGTCCATTTTATTCACCTGAAAAATTGAAAGGAAAAGTAGACAATGAGACGCTGAATCTGTATTACAGTAGCTTTACAAAGACTGTTACATAGGAACAGCTGGGGGTATGAATCCTTCCTGAGGACTGTGAAACAAATAAACTCAGTTGATTTATACTAATGTGACATAACACAAATACTACCTACTGTAAAGCTGATTTGGAAACGTGTAAACAGCGTCTGTGTTAAAGCAAAATCCCCTTTAATTCGTCCCCAAACGTAAAATTAGCACTTTGTCGTGCTAGCACCGATCTACTGACCTCGTGCTTCACTCGACGCAAGCTTTACGCTAATGCTAACTTTCGTTAATACACAAGATAAATATTATAGGCGAGCCAATTTGGACATGTCAAAGGTCGAACAATAAATTGCGCGTCGAGTTGTACTCGGAATTACCCACACATGAAGATTTAACGACCACCTTCACCGCGACAGACTGCTAACGTTAGCTAGCATCCCTGCTACCCGTTCCCTTGCTAGCCAAGTGTGGTGTGCAAAATTATCTCGAACTACTTTTTACTTATTAGCTAACACCGAGAGACTTAACGGCCCATTATATCTGCCATAAAGTCACTCCCTAACAAAACACCCAAGTAAACCCGGAATTTTTTGAAGGGTAAGATAATGTGACCTAGCCAGACATTTTGAAGGTGACGGTTACGTATAAAAAATGGACGCCTGCTAGCATAAGCAGTTCAGGGTGTGGCGCTAGCTGCAGTTAGCTAACTCCGCATGAATGACAAAGCAGTTTTTTTCGTCCAGTTTTCACAAAATATCCCCTCTGTTCTTTAAAAATGTTTTACAGAATGGTAGCTGCAATAAAGACAAGCGAAACTGTACAACCTTACTTTGTCAAACGCGTTTAGAGTTGAAAACGACGCTGGTCTCCGTCGTGGCGTGGCTCCGCTCAGTCTGCCTTGCTGCTCTGTCACATAATGTGTGCCGTGTGCACAGTGACCAGCGAAGGTTGCCAGTTCCGCTGCTTTCCCGCCCAACGGCACAATTTTGAGAATATAACTAAAAATAAATTTATATGACTAATAATAAACTGTAATCAGAGGTTTAGGTGATTTGTTTCCCCTAGAAAAGACATTTTTGTTGTCATTTGGGTCGCTAATAGGTTATTTTGTATATTTTTTAGCTAATTTTGTGTCTCTTTGTGGTCATTTTGAGTCTACTCCTCCTCAATCACCTGCCCTTTTGGCCTCTGACTAGGTAAGTGATAATTTATTTATTTTTTATTTATTTTTTAAAATAATTTTCTTTTTTAGTTTTTTAATTTGGCCCTTGGCATCAATTCTCAACTACTGCATTTGAGTTTTAATCCTGTGAGACCACAAGAGCCCCTGCCCCTCCTTCTTCACCTTCCATTATTGGCAAAACTACCATAGTTTTTTTTTTTTTTTTTTTTTTAAAATGCAAATTTAATTTTATTTATGAACCAACAGGAAATTAACTGGATCACAGGTTAAATTAAAGGGTTCTGGTGGGACAGTATCAACAAGAGAAAATATGAAAATGACTCAAACTTCCCCAAAATACTCTTTCTCTCTTCAGCACTTTGTGTATTTCACATTTAATTGAAGAACTTTGAGGTAGAAATCGTCCTCACAGTGTGTTAGTGTGTCAGAGCTCTAACATCCCGAACCATTAAACCTGACTGCAGAACAAGGTCCCTCATTTATACACAGTAAAAAAAAAAATGTGAGTCAGCAGAGATAATATGAAATGGAAAAAGTGTAAGAGGGGATAATATATTTAAAAGCAATACGGAATGCTGAGAGCCTAAAGTGAGGTGTGGTTTAATATGGTCCTGGCAGCTTATTTTTGCTCCACAGTGTCCTAACAGGTTCATCGAGCCATGCTTTCACCTGGCTGCATTCTGAATCTTCAACAAAATCAAACAAAAGCCCAAAATGACCAAATATAGAGATGTTGTCATGAATGAACTCATCAAATTACTAGTATTATGGTGCATGTGGTTTGTGCAAGTGGTGTTGCCATACACCAGCAGATGCCGTTGCTCGACTGCTGTGGTTAGAATCAAAATCAAACACACACTGTTCTGTCTATGTCACGACTTTCAAATAAGAAAAAAATTTGAAAAACTAGAATGTGTATGAGTGTTACGTGGCCTATATCACAGTTGATGTCCACAGTGTGTCATAAAATGAGATTAAAAGTCATAGTATCATAGAATATGTCACAAAAATAATATAATATATCATGGTGTGAAATGCTCTGCAGAACTAAAGGTCAGAAAACATAGTAAAGGAAATAACAAACATTAATATTGTACAATATCAGATTTATTTAGTGTCCCTCGTAGAGTTTGGGTTCATATCTTGATCTGCAGCTGGATTCTTCTTATATCTGATGACCAAAGGCACAAACTGTTTCCCAAGTTACCAGCCCACGTCAGACGTGGTCTTAATGCTCCATCCAGAGGTGACCACACTACACTACCTCAGACTCCTGATCCATGCTGCTGTCACATCCTAGTTTGAGGTGTTATACAATACCAGTCACTCCTGAGACAACATTGGTTTAGCTATCTTTTTTATTTATTATTATTATTTTTTTTAAACTGCAATATTTTTCTTTTTTATTGTAATGTCTGCATTGTATCGTCTTTGTGTTGTATGTGTTTCTGCTGGACTTGGAGTCTGACAATAAAGCTGAACTGAAGCAATGAATCCATTTTATAGCACAGTACAAAAAAAATTCCACTGTGAATCAATTTATTTTCATTGTGAAATTAAAAATGGTTGGGGTGCCACCTGGCACCCAACTGGGGCCATATTTGGTTTTTGTTTGGTTCACAATTTGAATTTCTCCTAGCTATTTGGGATCAGTAGAACCTGATGAATATAAAAACTAAACATTGACAACATTAATTAAGCCCCAATGGCCTCAAACGAGACGACAATAAAGTCCCAACGTCCTCAAATGAGTGTTTCCGAATCAACAGCGTCTTAGCTTGTCGCTCTCCCTAAAATTGGTCAAATGTGTTGCCGTATCAAACAACAATCATTATTAATCATAAATAAACAAGTTTCAACCATTAAATGTGATCAGGTTTTTGGATCTTGTCCACTGTTATGTCGGGATCGGCTGCAGACTGAGTTAGCAAAGATGGCGGCCATCTTGTTTTTACACGTGCTGTGTCTCAGATCGCGTACTTCTGTACTCACACTTAATATTTTGAGTGCATAAGTGCGTTCACACTGAGAAGTATGGAAAAATGCAGTGCACTATGAGTACCCGGATGGTGCACTCAAAACGGTCAAGAAGTTGAGTGTGGAACTATGGACACTTTTCACCCTCAATGGTCGCCATCTTGGCTGCGTAGCGGAAGGAGAGGGACCACTTTTCAAACTGAGAAATGGCAGCCGAGGACTGTGCGACCGTGAACGTCGCTGCATTGTACATTTGTTTTTTGCACTAAGCACCACTATACTGTTGTCGGGTATAAGTCAGCAGTATGTTTACTGGGTTAATTTAGCAGTCTGTAATGATTTGGTACCGCGAACGATAACGCGAATGCTAATGCTAGTTTGCTAACTAGCTAACAGCTGCACATTTAGACGTTGTGGGCAAATGGTGGCGGTAATGCTCCACTGCCCGGTTACAATTAGGCATTAAAAGAAGAAGAAGAGGTCGAAATTTATGGTCGTCATTTCTGGTAAGTGCGCAACGGCCGTGTTTGGTTTGAGACAACACTACCCTGTCGAAATTCGTGCACTACGCCAATAAGTATAGTGCACATAGTATTCTACATGGAAGTGTACGTGACGGAAGTATGTTATTTTAGACACACCAATGGATTAGTGTGTTGTCCTCTTACTGCCACTAGATGGCACAAAAAAGCGTCCACGAGCAAGGACAACAGGTCTAAGGTAAGGAGAATGAACCCAACATATGATGTCATCCTATTAGGACAAATATAAACTGTATGAATATAAAGTATATTTATTGTAAATACATATTATCCTCCAGTGCTGTGTTAGTGATGGTAAAACCAGGGTATACTGATTAGTAACATGAGTCCAGGTCCTTGTAGCATCATGATCCATTCCGGCAGGTCTTGCAGCTAGAGCGCAGTGCATTGTGGGACGTGGGTTGATGGTGAAGTCAAGATGGCTGCGAACCCCAGGCTGCGGAGAGAGCCTGCTGTAGGAAGGCCGTCAATGAAGTTTTGAATAGAAAATCCGTCTTCGCTGCTCGTTTAGACTCAAACCAGTGTGCTGTTGAAGTTGTTACCGACCCGCGGAGGACCTGATACTTTCACAGACAGCAACAGGATAACAAACAACTGAGGATAAAGTCTCGTATGAATTCCGACGAGAAGGAGGACTGTGAGTGTGCGCCACCACAGGCCGAGACGAGCCCCGCAGGAGGACCTTATAGGTGGGCACGTCCGCAGGAAAGAGTCGGGGATGCCGGGGATGCTAGGAGGATCACTGGTAGCGTTAGCTAGCTAGGTGCTGCTGGGAGCTGTGTGGGTGCTATTGCTCTGACGTGTTTATCAGTATAGTTAGGCAACATTCACAGTCAGCACTGGTTAAATAACAATTAATAAAATTTTAGTAGTTTCGAAACATCAGTGCTGCGTGAATAATATTAAAATAAGGCCTGCAGGCTAGCTAGTTGTGGCTACATTAGCTTGCTAGCTTACTAAGTCAGCGTCAGGATGTGCAGGTCCCTGACATTTCTCCCACTTCACCACCCTGCTGCCCCTCCAATACTAAAACATATGATTCTGTTGTATGTTTATTTTAATGATAAATACCAGCTTATGTTTATTAACTAATATTATAGCCACACATTTATCAGAATACACTGTGACCCTAACCACTGTAAGGCTATGATGGTGCTAGCTCTAAGGTTGCTTTTACTTAACATGTCATTTTCTCACCGTGTGTAAGGCACATGCATTTTGTAGACGAAAATATGTTCTTATCATGTAGTATAATCAGATTTCTCCAGAGACAGACAGGCAGCAGTATTTGTAGTCACCATCATGTCAATGCAGCACAGCTTGACCTCTGCTGTAACGCCAGTTCTGTTGTGTCTGTTGTTCAATCAGAGAATACGAGGAGCCTGAAATAGAAAACCCAGAAGCAAGCCGAATGTAAGTCAAACTTATTTTGTCCCAGTGCATAGGTGTGCCTGTCAGTGTGTGTTTGAGACTGCCTTGCCACACCAGCAGCTCCGACAACTCTTGTTTCTGCCTGCTCTCACTTCTTGTTTTCTTGCCTTGCTGTCATGCATGGAGTGACTGTTATCATGACCATGTTACAGACATTTTCAAACATGACAGCCGAAATATTTCACTGTTGGAGTGTTTGTTAGTGCAGTGGGTGACCAAGGAAACTGTAAAAGTGTGGTATAGTTTCTACAGTAGCTGCAAGGGACATATAAAAGATGGAAAGGACAGTGTTTGAATTTTGCATCGGAGCCAGACTTTGGTGCCAGGTCTATTGGTGGTGCAGTATTTAGCATTGTCGCCTCACAGCAAGAGGGTTCCTGGTTCGAGGCCCTTCTGTGCTGAGTTTGCATGTCCTCCCCATGTCAGCGTGGGTTTCCTCCAGGTACTCCAGCTTTCTCCCACAGTCCAAAGACATGCAGGTTAATTGGTGACTCTAAATTGCCCGTAGGTGTGAATGTGAGTGTGAATGGTTGTCTGTCTGTATGTGTCAGCCCTGTGATGTGGTGTACCCCGCCTCCCGCCCAGTGTCAGCTGGGATAGGCTCCAGCTCCCAAGAGGATAAGCTGAAAATGAATGATTGAATCTATTGGATCATATGAGGCGAGCTTGGCAAATCCCACCCTAACCCATCTTACTTTTGTTGTTTCACCTTTGACTTTAAATTTTAATTAAACAAATAATTATGTGATGCTGACTGACAGTTGTTAGGGAGCTGCAGTGTTGGTGAGTGACAGGAAATGTTACAGCCTCTCTAGCTTAATTGTTGAAATGAGGCAAACTGAGGGAAATTACAACACACTGAAGCATACAGTCAAGTCCGAGTTTAGTGGATGTATCATGATGTAGCTTGGATCATCCAGCTATCATGTTGTAGAGTTAAGTGCATCTTACAGACAGAGCCGTGATCTATTTGGAGACTAATAACAAGGAATACGAACATGCACATTAAGATAAAAAAACATCTGTCAACAGTGCATAATGTGTGTTGTTTAATTTGGTGGAAGGATTTTGAAGGTAAAGGTGAAACAAAAAAGATATGATGGGTTGTAGTGTGATTTGCCGGGCTCTAATGTCCCTTTCCTTCTTTTATAGCTTCCTTGTTAACTGTCAGGAAGTAAGCAGGGACCAAAGCTGTTTCCATAGCAACAGAATAACAATGAAAAGGTATACTGCTGCGTTCAAATGGGGTCGTCGTGCTTACTGAGTCCATGTGAACACTCCCCTGATGTGGTATTCACGACCTCGTGAGTGAAAATTTTCTGAAAGCTCCGAGTTCAAGACTTCGGGTACACAACTTCCAATGTCATAATCGCTCACGAGATCCATTTGAACACAGCATGTGTAACGAGAGCCTCGTAAAGAATGTCAGGAGAAGTTTTGTGTTTATGTTAACACACACTGCGTCACATCACTATTGGATTTATGTAACTCTAAAATTGATGCTGGCATCATCCTCTTGGGCTCTGTCCATATTTAGCCATATGCTGCAGTTATCTCGTATAGGAGTTACTGTTATCACCAGTTTTTGACACATAAATAATGTTCACGTCAACAATATTGGTGAAAAAACTGCTAGAGAAGGCAACGTACGGATGATTCACGTCAGCCAGCATCCACACTTGATGGATGTGGTCATATATTTATTAATACACTGTATTTTTAGCGCTCAACCAACCAACTACAGTCATACAGCTGTCTTGAGTTGTCAGATGAAATGGAATCTCAATGATTACCATCCCCTGTCGTACTAATTGCTCTAAACGCTCAAAAAAAATGAGACCACACAGTATTTATAACCCGTTGTGCCTTACCTTTAAACACAGGAAGCGAGCAGCTGCCAAACATCTAATAGAGCGCTATTACCACCAGTTAACGGAGGGCTGTGGGAATGAGTCATGCTCCAACTCATGGTGTGCCTCATCACTCGGCTTCAACCGCATGGATAACAACGCAGCCGCGGTCAAAGCCCTGGAACTCTACAAGGTCAACGCTAAGCTATGCGACCCACACCCCTCGAAGAAAGGCACTGCCTCGGCCTACCTGGAGAGCAGCGCTCACAGCAACTCGGCCTGCAGCAACAGGAAGTTGAACCATAAAGATGTCCACGCTGTACGGGATAATTTCAAAGGTGAGTCGATGCCAGATGTTTAGGATCCACACACTGCTGCTGATGAATGACATAGAGCAGGATATCAGATATTGCAATCACAATAATTAATGCAAATTCACTCCGTATGAACTCAAATCCAGTTGCTGCAACTTTACCGCAAATTTGACTATTTAAAAGGGTAATTAATTAGTATGTCTAACCTTGTCATGTTTGATTCTGTACACAGATGTAAATTACCTGACAGAGGAGAAAGTGTATGAGATCCTAGACATCTGTGGAGAGAAGGAAGACTACTCACCTCTGATCAGGGTAATCGGCAGGGTGTTCTCCAGTGCTGACGGCCTGGTGCAGAGCTTCAGGAGGTCCAAACCTCACACTAAAGAGGAGCTCAAGTCCCTCCAAGGTAAGGACGAGGACAAGGATGAAGACGAGAAGGAAGCAGCCGCCTGTTCTGCTACAGCTATGGAGGAGGACTCCCCCTCCGCATCCTCGTCATCATCGAGGCTGGGAGAGGGCTCCTCAGGGGAAAACGATGTCCAGAAGCTGGCCCCCGATGAGGTGTCGGTGGACATCGAAGCCGTGCGGCGGGTCTACGAGCGCTTGCTGTCCAATGAGAAGATAGAAGCAGCCTTCCTGAATGCACTGGTCTACCTCTCGCCCAACGTAGAGTGCGATCTGACGTACCACAATGTGTATTCACGAGACCCAAACTACCTGAACCTGTTTGTTATCGTGATGGAAAACAGCAACCTCCACAGTCCAGAGTACCTGGAGATCGCCCTCCCACAGTTCTGCAAGGCCATGAGCAAACTCCCGCTGGCAGCTCAGGCCAAGCTGGCGCGCTTATGGGCGCACTACAGCGCGGAGCAGATCCGGCGCATGGTAGAGACCTTCCAGCAGCTCATCACCTACAAGGTGATCAGTAATGAGTTCAACAGCCGCAACCTGGTCAACGATGATGACGCAGTGGTGGCGGCCACCAAGTGCTTGAAGATCGTCTACTATGCAAACGTGCTGGGCGGCGACCTCGACATGGAGCACAACGAGGAAGAGGACGAGGAGCCCATCCCGGAGTCCAGCGAGCTCACCCTGCAGGAGCTGCTGGGCGAGGAGCGGCGAAACAAGAAGGGCCCTCGGGTGGACCCGCTGGAGACGGAGCTGGGGATCCGCACCAACGATTGCCGACGGCCACTCATTGCCTTTGAGGAGTTTGTCAATGAGCCTCTGAATGAGGTGCTGGAGATGGACAAGGACTACACTTTCTTTAAGGTTGAGACTGAAAACAAGTTCTCCTTCATGACCTGCCCCTTCATCCTCAACGCCGTCACCAAGAACCTGGGCCTGTACTACGACAACCGCATCCGCATGTACAGCGAGCGGCGCATTACTGTGCTCTACAGTTTGGTCCAGGGTCAGCAGCTCAATCCCTACCTGAGGCTGAAAGTGCGGCGAGACCACATCATCGATGATGCTCTGGTCAGGGTATGTGTGTGCCACCTCAGCACAATACATTCAGTTTAATCCGAACACATTCCCCTGACGTGTTTCTCTTGTGTTGCTGCAGCTGGAGATGATCGCGATGGAGAATCCTGCAGACTTGAAGAAGCAGCTGTACGTGGAGTTTGAAGGAGAGCAAGGTGTAGATGAAGGAGGCGTATCCAAAGAGTTCTTCCAGCTGGTGGTGGAGGAGATTTTCAACCCAGATATTGGTAAGAAAACACAATATCATGAGTACAATAGCATGAGTAGGAAACAGGAAGCAACTCTCAAGACGTAATGGAAATATTTGTTGGACAGTTGGGGAAATAACGTTCACCTCAAGCCTGTACTTTCATTTTCAGTTTGAGTCAAACATTATTGCACTGGAGTGACCTTGCAGGATGGTGGCAGTTTTAGAATTAAAAGCACAATATTTCATCCTTATTTGAAACTTGAAATTTAATTAAATGAAATCTTTATTTCTGATATTTGGAGTGGGGTTAGTTTGGCATATTTGTGTTTATGCAGTAGTGTACAGTCCAGGTGAAGAGAGGAGATGTGAGTAACAAAGATTACTGTCAAACACAGATACTGTGTCCTTAGATCAGATCAGTAAAGGTTCAATCCCTATTGTTCCAAGACAATGAAAGTTTATTTGGACATGTTTGTGGTATTCTCTCTGATATTCTTAAGACATTAAAAGGGTCTTAACGGCTACATATAAACAGAGCAGCTGTGTGCCTAATGCTACGTTCATTAGTGATGTCCAAACGAAGCTTCATGAACCACCAGTTGTATTTGCTGAACCCACTAGATGGCGCTCTTGGTGTAATGAAAAAGGCTCAAGGGATGGCAATGCAGTTTGGTTTCAACCCTTTGTTGAGCAAAGAGTGCCAGAGTGGAGCCAAAAAAGAAAGACAAAGGTTCATGAAGCTTCATTTGGCCGTTGCTAGTTGAAACCAAACTGCATTGCCATCCCTTGAGCCTTCTTCATTACACCAAGAGCACCATCTAGTGGGTTCAGCAAAATTTGGACATCACTAGGGCTGTTCCCAAATATTTGCATATTCTAATATTCGTTTCTATGGGTAGGTATTCGTTATGAAAATTTGGTATTCGGTATTCGTTTTTTTATTTACTAATTTTTTTTAATTATTATTATAATTTTTTTTACATATTTTTTTGGTGCTAAATGTAGTCTTTTTGTTGTTGGTAAATGTAGGTTATCAATAAAAATCAAAACTTTTAAATTGCATTGTTAAAAATATGAAAATATCGTATCGCCTACCAACGGAGCTTGTGCACACGGCACGCTTGAGCGCATCTGTCTGAGGCTGTGGATCAATGCCAAGTTTTACCACCTTATCACTATTCCCTCTAACTTGTAGCTGTTTTGTCGTTATCTTTTGAATTTAATATGAATTATGGAACCGTTTTTGTCAACGTTTGTTTCCCCCGTTTTGTACAATAAACTATTGTTTAAAGTTTCAACAAGTTTCTTTTGGAGTGCGTGACACACGTGTGTTTTGAAAACGACCGCGGACTGTCACCTGCTCAACGCATCAGTACCTTCGGATGCCATGACAGTAATAGCCAATAATGTCAAAATATCATTTACAGACCGATTTAACAGGCGATCACTGCTGCCTGATCCGCAGGTCCATTTGCGGGTCCCGCGGGTTACAGGTCGACCCGCGCATCACTACTCAGCTCAGTCTATAAAGGCTGTGCACACAACAGTAAGGCTATAGACATTATATTCTATTCAGGCCGGCAGAACCAGCAGCGCATCGGCTCTACAGTGCACGGCACTGCTGATTAACGATTTTATTGCAGCACAGAGTGTCTGCCAGCAACCAATTACTTGCAGAGGCTTCCTACAACTTGTTTCAATGGTTCTGATTTAATCAGAAGACAAATTAAACAGGATGACTAGCCAATGTGAAAATCAAAAGAAAGCATAGAATAATGTACTGAAGGAGACTGTTGTGCCATCACATTTTTTTGTGGTTTGAGAGCAAAGATCCGGTCGCCGCTATGCAAAACTCTGTACAATACAATTAAGTCCGAAAAAACCCCGGAGGAGTGCTTCACAAGGAGTCTTTGAAAGGAGCCAAGCCTGGCGTAAAACCGGAGAGAGCAGGCAGCACGGCCACACACACACACACACACAAACCCCCGCCCGCCGTGAACAAATATTCGAATATTCGTTATAAATTCTGCCGAAGGTCCGAACGTTAAAAAACGGTATTCAGGACAGCCCTAGACATCACTAATGTTCATGCAAGGTCCTCCATAAGCACCGACGGTCGACTTTTGAGTCACGTCACTTTTAATTTTATCTTTTAACCAAAGGTTTTCAGTCATTGAAAGTCTTGATCTTAAGTTATCGGAGAAACAAGCTAAGCTAAGTTAACGTTAGCGGTAGCTCAGCTTGCCGTCCCTATTTCATTGTTTCAGGCACTGGTTTTAAAACAGTGCTTCTAACAAACACAGAGAGATCGTTTACAATACCAGACACATGATTTTAGCAAGATTTGCAATCATCCAAAGTTTATTTTAGTCCGTAGTGACCGTGCTGCTACTTTTACACTCTGATTCCATCAGTGCAGCTCAGAATAACATGAGACACCTGTGTGATGAGAACTAGGATAAAACAGTAGTTTGTTTCGTTAGTAAAATAATGCACACTCTGTTAATTAGCTCCTGTTATTATAAATGCATCATTTCAGTCACTGCTTTTCCACCCTTTACTTCAAGAGCTGAAACAGTCTGGTTTCACTTTAAAGTGTTTTATGTGACATATTCAGAGTATTATTATCATCATCAAACTAAACAGCAAAACATACTCTATACAAATGTCACATAGGCCCATAGCTCAGTGATACCTGTAGGTAATTTAAGTCTCAGCTGATGGTGACTTTTTGAAAAGCTTCAGGTCTCTAGATTACAGAGTGTCTGTTACATCCCACGCCGCTGACATTTTTCTGTCTTGCAGTCGCAGACGCTTTTGCTACAGTTTCATATCATATGAAGCAGTCAACTTAATTCATGGTTCTGATGATGTCGCTCGCTGAATAGGAAAAAAAACTAGAGTTGACTGAACTAGTTGATAACCAGCTTTGTAGTACCAGTTATCCAGACGGCCAATGTTAGGGTTAGTCAAACCTGATAACGAGAAGCTATCCTGGGTAAGTTGTAGTGGCTTTGTAGTACAGAAATCCCTGACACTGACCAATCAGATCAGTGGGAAAAAGGTGTCCTGACTAGAGGCGTGTAACGATCCATCGATTGAACGAACAATCCAATCTCGTCAATGCAAAGTAAAAACATCAATCCATAACCTCATCCTTAGGACACGCTCTGATTTTGAAAGTCTGTGTCACCGTCAAACAGCTGCAGGCAGATGGCAAGCAGCCAAGAGAGAGAGACGATGAGGATAAAGTTATTTACTCGGGAGTAAATCAGTAGCGTGGAAATAGTTTGCATTTCGGAGAAAATACAGGTCAACTGACAGAGCACATGGCGTATGTAAACAGTGACATCACAAGATAGTACACGACGACAGGCTTCCTGTTTCTCTGGTTTTAAAACAGAGCTTCTAACAAACAGCGATAACACACTCAGATAACACAAGACACCTGTGTGATGACAACGGGAAATAAAAACCAAAGTCAAATAATCCACACACTGTCAACTGGTTCCTGTTATTAGAAATGCGTCCTTTCTGTCAGATCAGTCATTAACTTCTCTCCCACTCTTTACCTCAGTAGCAAAACAGTCTGGCCTTACTTTGAAGTGTTTATGTGACATATTCAGAGTCGTGTCTTCATCATCTACTCACTCCACATCCAATCATGTCACAGTTCCACACGGTCCTAGAAATATAAAGTGTCACAGTGGTCAAAGTTCAGTAATAAAATCTGCTGACACTGGATGGCAGCAGAGAAAGCGGTGCCAAAGTGAAGCTTCATGAGTAGTTTACATGACTTTCTAATCATTAACATCAACAGGACACCCCTGTGTATATTTTACACACATATTAACTCAAACTTTTCTCTCCCTCCTGCAGGCATGTTCACATATGACGAGGGCACCAAACTGTTTTGGTTTAACCCGTCATCGTTTGAGAACGAGGGCCATTACACTCTGATCGGCATCGTCCTGGGCCTGGCCATTTACAACAACTGTATCCTGGACGTCCACTTCCCCATGGTGGTGTACAGGAAGCTGATGGGCAAGAAAGGAACCTTCAGGGATTTGGCTGATGCCAACCCGGTAAGAGCATATGTCCTGACTGCTGATAATTCGTGTAGCTACAGAGCAAATCCACAAACTGTCAATTCTGTACTGTGTCGGAAAGGTTCTACACCAGAGTCTGAAGGAGCTGCTGGAGTACGAGGGCAGCGTGGAGGAGGACATGATGATCACTTTCCAGATTTCACAGACGGACCTGTTTGGGAACCCCCTCATGTATGATTTAAGGGAAAATGGGGACAAGATTCCAGTCACAAATGAAAACAGAAAGGTGAGCCGAACAGAAAATACGCAAGACTATGTCTGTGGCTGTACGTATTTATTCCCTCTGACAGCCTCAAACTGCAGTAGGAGGTCTTGGTCTGCATCCAGATGAACTCTAGTTTTGTTTAGGGTGTGCAAGTAAAGCAGACTGGTCGTGTTTATAGAATGAATCTATTTCACCACTAGAGGGAGATCATGTACCACCAGTAGTTTGTGTAGGATCTAACTGTCCCTGCCGATGTGTGTGCAGGAGTTTGTGGCCCAGTATGCAGAGTACATGCTGAACAAGAGTGTGGAGAAGCAGTTCAAAGCCTTCAGGAGAGGCTTCCACATGGTCACCAACGAGTCCCCGCTCAAATACCTGTTCAGACCAGAGGAAATCGAGCTCCTGATCTGCGGAAGCAGGGTGAGATTCTTTTTTACTAGACATTTGAATATGTCAGGAAGTCATTTAAAGTTTCTTCAATGCTCATGCTTGTTTTGTCTCTCAGAACCTGGACTTCCTAGCCCTTGAAGAAACGACAGAATACGACGGCGGTTACAACAGAGATTCTCGAATCATCAAGTAAGAAAGTGTTTGTGTTTGTAGGCACAGTGTGTGTGCACACAAGTAATGATGATGGTTTGACCGCACACCCAACGTGCAAGACCCTACTGACCTTGATCTTTTATATTTTGCACTCATTTGTAATTTCGCTATGTTGCATCGTAGGGAGTTTTGGGAGACATTGCACTCGTTTGGTGAGGAGCAGAAGCGCCTCTTCCTGCAGTTCACCACCGGCACTGACAGAGCACCTGTGGGTGGGCTGGGCAAGCTGAAGATGATCATTGCCAAGAACGGCCCTGACACTGACAGGTGAGCCTCCTCTATCATAGCCTCTTCCTGAAATAGACTTAACATAGCGTCTTCTACAGACCTTGTTGTGGGCAGATTCATTTGGGAACCATTTTCTTTCTACTGAACTGAGCTAGCCACCACCCTTTCGTCCATGAGTAGATGCACTCTTCCTTCTTGGCGGTGATTCTTTTGGTGGGTGTAGTTCGATAAACAATAGTTCCGACATGAAATTGCTCACAAGGTCTGTGGATTATTATTATTATGGAAAATACTGATTTGGGGTAAACTGTCCCTTTTAAGAACAAGCTAGTTGGTACCATAGACTGTATATAAAGATGGATGATGTGCCTCCACTTACCCCCACTGTACAGAAGTGAAGCTAAAATATCCTGGATACGGCAAGGTCATTTGGAGCCAATTGATTGATTGGCTCACACAGTTGTCAGTCATGTTTTAAAATTCATGTTTTAGCATTAAATAAAGAATTAAAACCAAACTAAGAAAAACAAACACTTGAACATGTAGCGGTGAGATAAAAATGATCTTAAATAACAGAAACCATCTTTGCGAAAAGTTTATTTGATGTGTACTTTGAATTTTGACATGTTACACACCAGCGTTGGCCTCAAGTATGACATATACGCTTTGGTAGCACTTTACAAACAATAACAATCATGTAACATAGCAATAACGATCATTAACCGCCCCAGTTATTTGGTGGCTGATCTCGTCCTCTGCTTAGAGGGTAAGGAGCTCCTGGACCTCATCGTTTTCCAAATTTGCGGACATTTTCACCTGCCGTTGTTCCTCTTAGAGTTAGCTGCTAACTGCTATTACCTACTTTTATAATCTACTGTGATGGGTTGAAAACATGCCTGCTTCCACTTAAAAGTGATTTGAATTTTGAAGTTACTTCCCTGTCACTCTCTTTGAATAGATCTTGGGCCCTCTGTGGCAACACAGTGTTCGCATTGAACTAAAAGAGGAGGCTATGTGTTTTTTTTTAAATGCCTAAATCTTAAAATGAGTCTGAGTTGGAGCTGTGGCACACATACACAGTTGGTGCTATACAACACTTGTTTGATGGAGTATAAATAACACCTACAACTTAAAACCACATGGGTGAGAATTCTCATGTGGCCCCGCTGAATTACAGTTTACCTGTTTATTATCACTGTGCACCAACGCTTAACGGATCACAGGTGTTTTGTGCTCTAATTATATTCCCCATGGTAAGTGTTTGCTTTGTCTCATCCAAGCAAGGGTGGGAATCTAAGATTACTGTGTAGTTGCTGCGTTGTCCCACACATATGTAGGAAAAAGCGTATATTAAAAGATTGATCTGGGATTTTATGAATCGTAAATGAAGATCGATTCGAACCAGCTGAATCGATTAGTATAACCCAGCCCTGATTTCTACCAGCATCAGAAACAATTTGGATTGAACAGAAGATGACCAATATCAGTTCTTTTGGCTCTCATGTGGTTACTGTGGTGTCGCCGTAGCTCCAACATGTGGTCGCATTTTCTAGGATAAGCTACAAATTAGCCTTAGCCTGTAGTGTAGCTTCAAACTCTTATACATTGGCATTGATACAGTTATTCTTCCTCCAGTGAGTCGAGGAAAACTGACCGTCAGTGTGCTGTTTTGTCTCGGCAGGTTACCGACGTCTCACACTTGCTTTAATGTGCTGCTGCTGCCCGAGTACAGCAGCAAGGAGAAGCTGAGAGAGAGACTGCTGAAAGCCATCACCTATGCCAAAGGGTTTGGCATGCTCTGAGCCCCTGCTCCGAACACACAGCAAAACGGACTCCTTCTCAGAAAGCCCATCAAACCCTGCCCTTCCTTTGTCAGACACAATCTACAGGTGACAAAAGACAGAGTATGTTTTAAAGGAAAAGCAAAGTCAATAATGAAAGCAGAGAGATGGTTCCAATAGAGCGCTCCAGTAGTTCTTTACTGTGCCTGCATCATCCCACATCAGTCAGTGTAAGCACAGAGACCTCCTGATCAAAGTACCCACCCCCACATCCACATTACGTGAATGTGCAGCAGCCTCCCCATCTTTGTTTTCTATGTACAGAGAGGATCATTTTCCTTATTATTTATTTTAAGGTTAAAATGGGTTATTTTTCATGCCTGCCTGTTGTGATAGCTTCCCTACTCGGGGAACGGGGGAGGGTTATTATTAAACAATGTAAATTTGGGACAGTGCATTAACAAGTCAATATAAAACCCATTTATTGAACAAAGTTGTGTTAAAGTAGACTTGAACTCTGGTTCACAGACCGCTGACAAAGAAAATCTAGTTTTAGAGTAGCCTTTACTACAAAATATTATATTCCCCACAGAAGAAAAACCATTCCACTCTCAGCAATCAGTTATTGTTGTTTCTACCAAGTCCATTTTTGATCAAGGTAAGCATTTAGAAATGTCACATGGTCCTAAATGGCACACTATAAAATAGCTGTTTTTGTTTTGGGCCTCTTTTCCTTATTTTAGGGGTGGGGGTGGGGGGCACCGCAGGTTAGACTAAAATCTTGTCAGAGCTGTGTAAGTGCACTTAGACATTTTCAGAATGTTTGTTTTTTGGCCACAGGTTGCCATGATTGTTTGAAGCATTTTATTTCCATGTCTTCCTGTGTTGACGATTCTAAATAAAAACAGTATTTATATATCAGTGCGGTTGGAACTGCGATGCCGTATTGTGCACGTTTCGGAGGATGTACACACGTAGACCAGTCACTGATGATGTTCTCAGATACAGACATAGAGCTCTTCTTGTGCCAACCTATACAGTCAGTCGATAGGTGGGTGAAACCCCAGTAAGCACTTTGTGTCGTCTCGTTCTGGCTTCGTCTGGACTCGTCAATGTAACGGCAGTTTATCTGAAAGCCCCCCATGTAGAGTCAAGAAGGCAGTCACTGTTGTGATTTTTAGTCTCCGGCTGTGGTTACACCTGTCATTTTAATACAACATGTATCACAGGTTCAAGTGAGGACAGCAGTCTACGCACAATCTGAACAAACTGTTACGTCAAAGCTGCAACCAGCTCGGTTAATCCTGAAGCCACTTAGGCCCTGTCTATATGTATACAGATGTTTTAGAATACGGATATTTCGCCCCCTAGCTGTCCAAACAAAAACGGAAAAATGGCTCCAAATGCTAGCCCGGGACTGTCGCTGTCGGTAGTAGAGGAAATATAAAGATGAAGGAGCTTATTCAAGCATACGAGAGATGCTCTGGACATGCTGCTTTTATTTCTAGACGATAAAAATGTATTGGTCCAACCGGTCCTGATCCAAAACTGTCGCTTCTGGCTGACTTAAAACCGCAAACGCTGGAGCAAAAACACTGGGTGCAGATGTTTCCATCCAAGTTTAGGTGTCATTGGACCAAGCAGCGCAAACAACATGTTAGCAAACCAGTTTCTAGAAATTTTGTTTGCCTGTGGACAAGAGGCGAAATCATAGAGGAAAATATCCATTTACGAGCATACCTGTATACATATAGAGAGGGTCTGACGCTCAGAAAAGCGCCTCATATTTTCCTATCAGTCCTTCGTTTGCTGTGCGGATCACAATGGAAAATAATGTCGAAGACAACAAAAAAAAACACTTTCTAATTGTGCTTGCATCCAGTAAGCACAGCTCAAAAACCAATTAACTTGGCTCTGTAGAACAAACAAATCCTCCCTCTCCACTGCTCTCACGTTCTATCTTTTCGTTTAACATATGTAGCGAGGCTAGACTAACTGCGTCCTCCTGCTTCCAGTCTATGTCCTAGACCTTTGTACCTCTGTATAACACTGATACTGACTCTGGGGAAGACGGTACTGTACGGACACATCACTGTGATCAGATTTATATTCGGATCTGTCACATTCAAAGAGAAATCAAACAGGTGTAACCACTGTCTATGGAAAAGTCTAGGAAGCATTTCATAGCACTTTTTCAACATTGATTGGAATAATAACTGTGAAATCATCCTCCCACAGAACAGGCTGATGTTTCGTAGTATTTGATAGTTCTGTTTTTGTTCAGTTGACTAGGCTGTACCTGTAAAGAACTTCAGTAATGTCTGCATGATGTTCTTGCACACAGACTTTATAATTTGACACTGTCAGCAGAGTGCGTTAGGTCAGGCAGCACGTCATCAGATACCCAGGTAGGCAGGCTTTAAACCCATCTACAGTTTAACTGAATTATTTAAACCACTTATTTGAAAGTGAAAATAAAATGGACACACTGAAATGTCACTTTTGGCAGTTTGTTGCATTGTGCACAGCCACTAACTATGGTAAGTATGTTACCTGGAGTTTTATAGAGTGCTCCAGGGATGACATGGAAGTTAGCATCGCCCTGGTTCTCTTGTCAGAAAGCCGACAGGATTGCTCCATTGGATTTCGGATTATTGCAGAAACTAAGCTCTGTGACAAACAAACATTTATGTTACTGATATGTTTTGTTCAGCAGGATAATCTTCTCAAACGGACACCACGTTTATGGTCCTTAAAGCTTAAATGCAAGCTAACGTTAGGCAATAAAGTAACTACACGGTTGCATGACGTAATATACCTATCACAACAAGGCTGCAAAGTGTCATTTAGCTTCTTGTCAGCAGCCGCCTTTTTGTAAGGCACATAAAGGCTTTAAAATTCACCGTGGGGTATTGACGGACGTATTTTATGTCGTAGAACAAAATGTGAAAGCCTCTTGTGTTAACCACAGACCTTATTTCAGGCGTCTAACTGAAAACTATTGACTTCAAGATGAGGGAACAGGAAGTGCTAAAATGCAAACTCATTTCTGGGTTTTAGAACTCATTCCTGGGGCACTCTATATATTCATATACATACATTACAGCTAGGTATGGGACGATGTACAATTTCATTGCATCATCGTAGGAGTATGCATGCGTAATATGATGTTATGGAGACTTAATGATGACTAAAATTATGTGGGGAAAAAAGTGGATATATCGATATCAGTATCTGTTATCGGCCAAATGAGTAGTTATATATAGGCATATCGGATATTGGCAGAAAATCCAATATCATGCATCCCTCTTATGATGCCATTGCAAATAGTTGAAATGACTGGCTTTTTAACATTGTCTTTCGCTTAAAAGAATAACAAACGTGCGTCCTATCTGTTACACCTTAAAAATATTTCTGTCTTAACAAAATGCCAGGTAAAGTGATGCAGTATGTTTAAGTATCAGGATGACATCGTGAATCGCAATAATTTTGGCCATGAAATTTTCATATCGTCCCATGCCTACAGCCAACCCTTTTGCAAAACATGCTTTGTTTTAGGAATTTAAATTATTTCTACCATTCCGTGCAATATGAATATATACAGTATGAAAAGCATACTGTAATCTTAAATCTGAGGTAGTGCTGTGTCAACTTTTCAACCCACTTTACCACCAGACGAAGACATTTTAACACACATAGGGATGGATTACACAACTCGAGTACATGTCAGGAATCTTACATATTTTCATACATAGTGGCAACGAATGGAAGCCAATGGCAACCTTAAACAGTTTGAAAAATACACCCCGAAATCAAATTGAACATGGTTATTAAAAATGTAAGGTCCTTTAACATTACCTTTTGTTTTACTTCCAAATAAGTGGTTGAGATAATTTAGGTAAACTGGACAAACACTTGTTTGACCACTGCTGTAAAACTGTCTTAACAGTTTCCCCTCATCTTCAGATTTGCCTTGAAATGTCATAGCGTTTATGTCAAGGTCCCCTTACTTTCTTTCTTGAGCTTTTGAAAATATTATAGCCTGGATCAGTAAATGTAGCCGATCTGACACCACTCAGCCAAAACATCAAAACCACTGGCTGGTGAAATGACAAACATTGATCATTTTGTTATAATGCATTGTTCTGCCGGGAAGTATTAGGTCCTAGTATTCATATGGATGCCACTTGGCGCGCTCCATCCAACCAAAACACTGTTGTAGACCAAAGTACCCCCCCCCCCTCATGGCAACAGCACCCCCTCATGGCAGTAGTCCTGCCCAGCAGGACAATGCACCATGCACCACCGTAAAAACTGTTCAGGAATGGCCTGAGGAACGTGACAAAGCACTCAAGGCGACAACCTAGTGTCCGAATTCCCCAATCTGATAACCACGGATCGGGAAGACCCTAGAAGTACCCTCACTTCACAACGGGGCCACCTTGGATTGGACTTGCTCTGACCTATCAAGGCATAGGCACAGGACCTCTTGGGGCAATTGATCCTTTTAGTCCTGTGGCTTGCAAGATGGGGTATGAACACATCCCACAGATGCTTGATCAGATTGGGATCTACTGAATTCGGAGGCCAGGTCAACGTCTTGAGCTCTTTGTCACGTTCCTCTGGCCTTTCCTGAACAGTTTCTGCAGTGTGGCATGGTGCATTATCCACTGCTGTTGACATGTGTTGTTGCCATGAGGGGGGGGTTTGGTTTGCAGTTTTTTGTTGAATGGAGCATGTCAGGCGGCATCTATGTATGCCAGGACCCAAGGTTTCCCATGAGGACATTGCGTTTTGGCCGATTGGCGTGGTCTTACACAGGTGGTGACAGTAAACCCTGTCTCTCTTCAAAGATGGTCCTTGGTGTAGGATGTGAATATTTTCAAAAGCTCCCGAAAACTAGTAATTGGATCCTGAGTTTAGATTTGATCAAGACCCAGATTATCAAAAAAACAGGTTTGATATATCCAAAGCTGGTCGGGGACTACAGCAGTCTGCAGATGGTCACTCAGAGGGGTGTTTTTTTTGTTGTCATGGGCTTTTTGGTCTTTGGAGATTGAATCAATGACTTCTCACTCTAACCATGAGGTTCCTGCTGTCCTAGTGATGTGTCTGCAAGAGGACTGTCTCCTTTTTTTTTTAAAGTGCTGCTCAGCCTGTGAGCGCGATGGTGCCCACAACATGCCACTGAACCACAGCGCTCAGACCACAGCAGCACACAACAACCCTGAGCCATTCTTTCTGTTCTTTTACTTTCTCATCGTCATGGTTTCAGCTGGACCTGGGCTAAATGATGTTGGAGAATACTTTTCATGGCTTGTTTCTAGCTTTCATTGGAGTCACTTTGGACAGTACAAGGAGTGCCTGGAAATGTGGACTAACAGTGGACTGTGTTGGAGAGTTTGTGGAAATAACAACTAAACATTGTAGTAACCTCAATCATGTGGAACTCTGTAGGTTCAAACAAAGGTTAAGGATTACTTGCAACTGTTATTGAGCCCAGGTCTGGTTTCTGCTGTTTACCATTACTCTGTACCTCCGTTTTGAATGCTGAAGATGCTGCTCACGTGGACATGTGAAAGGGCTCTAGAGCCTGGTGAAGGTAAAAGGGTGAAACCTGATCTTGGAAAGGGAAGCGGTTTTAATCGATTGGTTTGACTTGACAGTAACATTCTAAAAGATACAAACTGATGAAAGGCTACAAGTATTCAGTGTTGTGAAAACATGCTAAATAAAGATGACAGCTTTTTTCCAACTTGTGTTGCCTTATAATCCTGATTCGAGTCTGCAGGTCCTTTGGTTTCACGACAGTGAGTCTTACCCATGTTCAGGGATTTCTTGTTGATCCCTGCCAGTGGAGCATAGCCACAAAATAACTCTGTCACACTACTTTGTCATGAACCTTTAATGCTGAATCCATAAAATATTTACATCAGGACCATTAAACGTATGTCACGCTGAGAAGCTAACCTTTTCGGACTACATATAGTTGTTAATAACTTTGACGAGGCTTAGCATCGAAAGCTAAGCAAGCTGTTCTGTGAGGCTAAACGGGCTACTACTTCCTACTACACCACTGGATATGAAGCCATAGACTGAATATAAAGAACAGATGTAGGCCCCGTGATGTCACCCACTGGTTTATGGACTGCCATTTCAAAGCCTTGAGTTTGACCATATTTGGACGAGAGGGTGGAGCTGTGAAAGAGCAAGGCGTGGATCCAACTCAGACACTGGAAACACCGCACAGACAGCTTGTCACTCAAAGCGGCCATGCCCTTAATTATCTTTAACTTTAAGCCTTAACAAAATTGAAATGGGTGAGTTGAATAAAAATGTACCCTCTGTACAGCTGTTATGAACGGGAAAATTAGCTATGGAGACTAAAACCGTTTTTGTACGAGGTTGTAAACACTTTTATTTCTGCTGTAAAGTTTGGCATTTTAACATGAGGGGACTGACTCACTTTTGGAGCCAGCCTCAAGTGGCCATTAGAGGAACTGCAGTTTTTGGCACTTCTGCGTTGGCTTCATTCTTTAGCCCCGGCAGTTGCGGCTTGTATGTAGCAGGAAGTGTTCGCCATGTTAGCATGCTAATATTTGCTTATTAGCACTAAACATACATGTTAGTAGTTTTGCAAGTATTAGGAGGTAAACCAAATTTAAATTTTGACATGATGATGGCACTAGATGGTAAGCAGGGATCATTTGAGTTACAATTACAATTACAATTAATCCTAACAGGGAATTAGATATTTGTACCAAATTTCATCAGTCCAACATTTGAAGTACCTTCTTCTATATTAATGATACTGTAATGTTTGCTTACATGTTACTTTACAAATTGACTGCTAATGTCTTTGTGCTGCAGATGGAAAAAGACACAGACTGACTTCAAATCAGTTTATTTCAATCAGTGCTTAAATAACAGACCCTGGAAACAGTACTTCTGGTAACAATGTTGTTTTCAATATCATGCTACAAATACCACAAATAAAATTGAAAAAGGGTTGTGATTTGTTTTTAATCACAGAAATTTGGGCAGGTGTGTGAATTACAATTTTTATTTTCAATAAACATGTAGCATTGACAGATGCCTTTGTAATTACTCACGAAAATGCATTGCTAGAGTTGGGCGTCATATAGATTGCTTCCAGACAGGTACAAATATGACACAAATCTTTGTTCTTGGACCAGACTGGCAAAGAAACATTTTAAAAATTCAACACAATAAGCCAAATATCTCAACTGCATCACATAAACGGCTGCAATGAAACTTTCCTGTATATATCAGTACAAAATGATCTAAATGATCAGAAAGTGCCTGTTTAATGTTCACGAAAATCTTACCAAGTATCCTATAATCTATTGAAGTAACAGTTTTATGATACTCAGTAGGGACACAAAGAAGAAGATACTTTATCAATCCCTGAGGGGAAATTCAATTTTGTCACGCTGTTGTCATGTACACACAGGCTTGGAATACACACACAAACAGGAACTATACATGCATTAAGTGGAGAGATGTCAGAGTGAGGGTCTGGCTATGGACAGGCGCCCCAAGCAGTTGGGGTTTCAGTGCGTTGCTCAAGATCACCTCGGTAGTGCCCGGGAGTGCCAAGTTCACACTCCATGTTAAATCCAGACGGGGACTTGAAGCGACCCTCTGGTTCCCAACCCAAGTCCCTAGGGACTGAGCTTATCAGTTGGTACTTATGAAGTATGGAATTACCCAGCCCTCTGAATATCTGTGTGTATGAGAGTGGTCAACCTTCAAGGCAACCTTTCTATTTGACCATATATAGGATTAATGAATGGAGACAGCCACTGTCCAAGTGCTGGTCATGTGCTATTTGGTGACGAGTCCAACAGCACCATGGAATGACCTCTGAAAGAATGCCCTGAAGTGGAAAAGTCCTTAAGACCAGCAGTAGCAGTGCCAAGCCAAGATCTACTCGTCTATTCTGAGGGTTCGGACCTGGTTTGAGATATTAGTGAGCCGTTGCTTTAGTTTACGCTGGGAAGATTCATACTGGTCTGCTAGCTTTCGAAATTTGACTGTCATGACCTCGATATGCCCCTCAATTTTGTTGACCTTTTCCTCCAAGTCTTTGACATCAACAGCAGCGACCAGTGACTCATCTATGAGATTATCTTTCATCAGAATGGACTTTCCCTTCTCCTCCAGCAAGGTTTTAGCATCAGGATACTCAATGAGTGCCTCCATCAGATCGTCTTTGGACAGGGCAAACAGATCAGAATAGCCCACACTTCGAATGTTGGCTGTTCTTCGGTTTCCTGCCTTACTCCCCTTGATACCAAGGATGCTGATTTCTCCAAAGTATGCCCCATCACTGAGGACCACAAACTGGGTCACCCCATCATCTGCTACCACAGCCAGCTTTCCTTCTTTGATGATATACATTTCTCTGCCAATGTCCCCCTTCTTACAGATGTAGTCACCAGGACTGAAAACTTGTGGCTGAAGTTTAAGGACCAACTCAACAAGCAAACCTGCTTCACAGTCTTGAAAGATGCGCACTTTCCTTAGAGTCTCCAGATGGACGTTGATGGCTATCTCAGCTTTTAGTTTGTCCGGCAGGTTCTTCAGCACCAGCTTCTCATCGCAGGTTTTCTCCTCCGTCCAAAGGTAGTCAAACCACTTCACCACCCTGGCCTCCAGGTCTTTGGTGACCTTTCGAAATTGCATGTATTGCTTGATAGAGTCAATCTTAGCCTGGAACTCTACACGTGCAGCATTCATGTTGGAAATCATGGCACCAACATTGCCTACAATTGTAGCAAAGATCAGAACCCCAGTGAGGAAGTCAACTACCACAAAAAAGTATTCAACATCTCGGACAGGGGGTGGTGTCTCTCCAATAGTGGTCAGGGTAAGAGTGGACCAATAAAAGCAGTAGATGTACTGTCTCGCCAGACGAGCAAATTCAGGATTAGTGGTGGCTGGATAAACCCAGGTGTCTGAGCCAAAGCCAAGTACCTTGGAGATGGCAAAGTAGAGGCAACCATTCCAGTGGATAATGATAATGATGTAAAGTACAAGGTTAGCAATTCGAAAGATGTTGGGGAAATTGGTTCGAGTTTCAGTCCGGTCAAAGAACTCAAAGAGTCGCGCTAACCTAAAGAGACGGTTGAACCTCCACTCTGGGTTGTCAACTCCAATTTTGAGGAAAACAATATCTGTGGGAATGATTGATATGATGTCTAATTTGAACTGGCGCGTCTTCATGTACTTTTCTTTCAGGATCTTCTCATCCTTTACAAGAAGACCTTGCTCCAGAAAACCTGTTGAAACAACAGTTTTATTAGCATTATCATGAGCTTAAAGTTTCCTTTAATCTTCACACATCGAAGCAACAATTCCTGTCACTGACCTGTCCTGGCTCTCACAAAGGTGTCAATGTAGTAGATGACATCTGAAATGTAGTCCGCAACCATCCATGTGGTTGAATTTGCATACTGCAGTTCGTTGAAACAAGCCCTACAGAGAGGCAAAACCATGACAAAGAGCTCCGAAGCAACAATAGGGTGAAGAGGAAATAGAAAATGTCATGAATACAGACCTGGCCACCAGGAGCATCAGGTTGTAGAACACTGGAATAGATATTGAGCACAGCCAGTAATAGTACATATCTGTGGCGGGGTCCATGATCCACACCTCCTTTCTGAATTAGAAAAGGGATGTTTTATGTTAAAAAGCATGTTCATACTTGGCAAAGTAAGGTACTGTCAAAGGTTGTTGGTATCACTGAGATCCAAGTATTTTATCAGTATAGTATTGAAGATTTTCAACATGTCCAGCCCTGTTTTAGTGATGTCCAAATGAAGCTTCATGCACCACCAGTTGTATTTGCTGAACCCACTAAATGGCGCTCTTGGTGGAATGAAAAAGGCTCAAGGGATGGCAATGCAGTTTGGTTTCAACCCCTTGTTGAACAGAGTGCCAGAGTTTACTCAAAAAATAAAGAAAATGGTTCATGAAGCCATTGCTAGTTGAAACTGTAGTGGACATTTCAAAGATACCAAATCAAAATGAGCAAACAAATGTCTAAATCCTCATTTAATAGAAAGTTGCAGCCACAGAAAATACTATGTGGTACTTACGGTTCTTCCTTTTTATCATCCTTTTTGTCGTCTTTCTTGGCATCTTTCTTATCGTCTTTCTTTTCATCTTTCTTTTCGTCTTTCTTCTCGTCTTTCTTTTCATCTTTCTTCTCGTCTTTCTTTTCATCTTTCTTCTCGTCTTTCTTTTCATCTTTCTTTTCATCTTTCTTCTCATCTTTTTTACTGTAGATGTACAGAAACAGAGGCAGGTGAGGTAAATATCTTGACCCCTGTCATTCAGTGCTACCAGAGAGCCTGAGGAGGGCGCTGTGACACAGTACAGTCAAGCAGTCCCAATGCTCTCAGCACTACATCCATCACTGATTTTAAGTGAGATAGCCAGTTTGAACAGCAGAGACATGCTGTGTGAGGAATAAAGCCTTTCTGTAGCAAGTCAAGTGAAGGGCTCGTACATTATGCAGTTTAATAAAAGTGTCGGTCGCTCATTTTTTAAATCAGTTAATAGGCCAAATATAATTGTAGACAAATTAAAGTCCTGGACTCCCCAGGTCTTACATGACCACAGGATTCTCCCTGGCTCAGTTCATACATGTAATCTTTCAGCTTTTTAGACAACAAACAAGAGTTTTATAGCAACCTGTCACCAAATGTGGGTGTTTTGAAATTACCCATTGCTGTTTAGTGGTTTTTATCAGCCCGTTACTGTTTTTCCAGCAGCTTTTTATACAGCAAACATGAGAGTTTGTTGTCAACCTGTCGCTGTTTTACAAGCAGCTTTTTAGGCTCCAAGTTTGGGTGTTTTTGGTGACCTGTCAGTGTCTTTCCACCGGTTGTACCACGAAAAGACATTGCCGCTTTTCCAGGCAGGATTGCGCCCCTGAAAATGTTTTTTTAAAACTCAAACAGGATATTTTCTTTATCAGAAACGAACAAAAGTAAAGTTTCAACGTGTCCATGACATGATAATGTATAAAGGTAATGTATCTGCAGTTTTTCAGAAACGTAAAATGCCAACATTTTTTTCTGGTGATTGGATTACCTAACCAAGACTTTGGTCCAGAGTGAGATATCATCAGCTACATGAACAGATGGCCTTGAAATTATCTGTTGATATATATTGCCCCCTGAGCATGAACCCTAACAGTTTGTCGGCCCTTTGACCGTCGCTTTGACCAACTCTTTTGGTCCATAGCAAAGTCTCAAAATCTCGTGGTTGGACTATCAAGACTTATCATCTTACCCATCATTGTTGTTGGAGTTGTTCATGTTTTGTGCAGCCAGGGCGCAGCGACAATCGCTGGAAGAGAAACAAATCATTGCATGTATTACGAGAGGTATAGCAACTCAATATCATAAGACTACCCTGGCTTTAAGTCATATGACAAGAGAAAAAAAGGTGTAATAGTTTAAGCATTAAGTCATGATATAATACATTGCTTCGAGCAGAGTAGCTTTCTGTCTCTGCGTTCCCGTCACTTTGCTGTGTTTGGGACTGATAAAAAGCAGAGCTAAATCTCTGTGGTGATGGACTGAAAGATGGCGCCAAAATCTGGGTCAGATCCTCCAGCAGTGCGGTCCCCCAAGGACTGGGATGTGTTTGCAGCTCACCTGCTCCTGCTCCTCGTGTTCTCCTCTGTTCTCTGGCTGCTGACGCTGGACTCTGCAGGGCCAACGCTGCTCCTCCCAAAATGCATCATGTTGGACAGCCTTGGAAAAGAGATCATGTTTTATCAGCAGATACACACAAACTGTCAGTTTAATATCCATTCCCATGACTATTTATATTATCTGCAGTGAACTGAGACTGCCTCTGATGGATCCATAGTCCTTAGCCAGACTCACCTGGACAGCAGTCCTGTCCCCGTCTGATCCTGAGTGTCCATCAGCCTGGAAACATGGAGCAGGATAATATAATGAGCTCACAGTCACACTTGTATACCGTATCATATTACCATGCAGAGGTAAGTGTGCATCTACTCATGGCCAGGAGGCTCGTGTTTGTGACAGCACACAATGTAACAACCCGTTCTCATACCATCATCTATCGCCACTTTGCAGTTGACTACATATTACACGCTAGGTATCCCACTGTGTTTATGTTACAGGACGCCACAACCAACACCACGATATCAACCAAAGCACAGGGTTAAATTTAGAAAACAACATCATGGTTTGGCTCTACATTCAAGCAGGAAGTGAACAGCAGCCTCCCAGGTGGAAGTCTGGGCTTATTTGGACCCATCCACCACTTTCCAGCTCTTCATATTAAGGACGCATTCACACTGGCACTATTTGGTCCGCTTTAAATGAACTCTGGTCTACTTCCACGAGTACTTTGGTTCGTTTGGATTGGTGTGAACACTCATTCAAACTCTGGTGCGGACCAAATGAGCGAACCCTGGTCCACTTGAAAACTGGGGGTCTCGGTTCACTTGCAAGTGAACCCTGGTGCGGTACAGTGGGAGATGCAAACGGACTATCCAGCGAACCAAAGAGAAGAAGTGACGTAGAGCGTAGTGCGTTTTTGTTTTTTTTGTGGTGACCAAGCCGGCTGAAGGGGATGGATTTCCGTTTTCGGTCCTGGCCAGTCGATGAGCTGGGTTTTCTTCTTCCTGGTCAGTGGTTGTTTCGGGCAATACCGCCCCCAAATGAGCAGCTGTTGTTAACTTCTCAAATTTAATGAACATTTTTTGGGACATATTAACCTTTTTTTGACATTTAATTAACATTTTTTTGGACATTTTAATAATATTTTCTAGACATTTCATTAACATTTTTTGGGGTATTTTATAAATGTTTTTTGGACATTTTAATAAAAAATTCAGTCATTTTATCAACATTGTTTCAGACATTTTTAATATTTTTAGGACATTTTATGAACATTTTTTCAGGCATTTTATTCATACTTTTAGGACATTTCATTAACATTTTTTTGGGGCATTTTGTCAATATTGTTTCAGAATTTTTTAATATTTTAAGGACATTTTATGAATATTTTTTCAAAGATTTTATTCATATTTTTCAGACATTTTTTGGACATTTTGTCAGCATTATTTCTCAAATTTAATGAACATTTTTTTGAACATTTTAATAATATTTTTCGGGCATTTTGTTAACATGTTTTTGGACATCAATATTAATAAATTTCATTAACATTTTTGGGGGTATTTTATAAACATTTTTTGGCCATTTTAATATTTTTTTCAGTCATTTTATGAACATTCTTTTCATATTTTTTGGAACATTTTAATAATATCTTTTGGACATTTTTATCAAGATTGTTTTGGGCATTTTAATTGCATTTTCTTGACATTTCATGAACATGTTTTTGGACATTATTAATATTTTTAGGACATTTTATGTCGGCCGCCCCTGTACCGCCCCCCAAACGAGCAGCTGTTGTGACTGCGTGACGTTGTTCAGGCGGTTTGGTCCGCTTTAAAAAGTGCAGTGTGAAAGTGAACCGAACCAAATGAAGGTGTGAAATTTTTCCGCATTCCCCACCCAATCGAACCGAGTCCCCCGGACTATCCTGGTGTGAATGCGCCCTAAGTTGTTCCTGATAGTGTTTCAGTCATCCACTGGTGTATTATACAGTCGTCCAGCCGACTCGTGGCGTATCATAACACTGCAACAGGTTCCATCCAACCATGTTACATGTTGTTGTCTGACACCAAATCCAAACAAAGCGGCAGTATTTGACAACTTTGTAATGAGAATGGGCTGGATGTAAACATTAATGGTGTCTGTCTTGGCTAACGTTAGCTAGCTCAGTGGTGCTAGGTGAGTAGATGCACACTTCCTTCTGCCGTCTGTTTGGTTTCAGTAATGTCTGCTGAACACAGGAGTATTTTGCACTCTAGTGTGTCAGTCAAATGCACTCTTGTCCAAACAAAATCAAACCAATCAAATCATCAATGATGCTCCAATCTCGCATATTGTAACCGAATTCAGTGCTAAATGTTGGCTTTAAATCTGTTTGTGTTTAGTCCCATTAGCTCCACATGTTTCCCAGCACTGTTAACTCAAATCCTTCTCCCAGATTACACCGGCTAAAATTAGATGTTCAGCCCGGTGTCACTTGTTAAGCTCAGGACTTCAGAGTCTTTTCTTGTAATCACACTGTAACATTAAAAACAAACCCAATCTGGGTACATTTGGCTTACCTGAATGTGAGTGAAGATGATGATGACGGTGAAATCAGGGTGAGCTCTGAGTGAATCCCATATCGCTCCTCGTTTGTTCTTCCTCCTTCACGTCAAACATGAGGCTGGACTTGTGTTCGGCGACACAGATCCTGCTGTCACAGAGTTAATTTATCTTCTAACACAAGTCACACGAGGAGACAGCACACATGCTTTGCTGTGGTGAAGATCTTGCCCTACTGCTCATCCACTCAGCACTGGCTCCCAGCAGAGGATGAAGGGGGAGGGAGGAGGAGGAGGAGGAGGAGGGAGGAGAAGTCACTTTCATGAGTATGTGAGATTAAGGTGGCAAACTTGGGGCTGCCCTGGGCTGTTTCTGTTTAAACAAAAAGGATCTTAGTCTTTAACTAAAGGTCTATCTCTGTCGGGATCCTCTCCATAATGTTGTCAGACACTTAGAGCAACAATCTGAGCCTGTCAGTGACAAAACAACACTTATAATGGACGTAAATTCATGTTGTTTGTATCACTGGATAGGTAAACAGGAGTGACCAGAGTCGGAGCCACCTCTTTATTTATATCCCTTCCAGTCTGAGTCAATCCTCTTAGTGTGTGGATGGCTAAAGTGAGACATCAGACTCCACCTCCACTTCTCGGAGAGGAGCAGGACAATCCCCCAGCAGCCTCAGCTAATCTCTGCTCTGCTCCCGCTGCCTCCCTCTGAGCCCGGTGTGTGACAGCTGGGAGCTGCTGGGGAAGTGAGAGCAGCTGATCAGTTAGAGGTGCGAACAGGTTACAGGCAGGGAGAGCGTGTCAGCGGGGTTCAGCAGTCAGTTGTGCGGTGTCTCTCTCAGGGCCAGTGTATGTTGGAAAAGCCAGTTTCACGCTGAACATGTCTGTTCACTGGTGCAGATCTGCCGAGTCAGATTAGCTGCTGTAAATGAGATTAGAGTTTATCTGCTGATGCTTGTCGGTAAGCAGACGGAGAAGAAGTGATGGATCACAATTCACACTGATGAGCCTGTAGTGATGAGGCTGGTGTGGAGGCAGTTTAGAGCAGTGGTTCCCAGCTGGTCCAGCAGCAGGGTCCAGATCTCTCCTCAGTCATTAGTTCAATGTCCCACACAATTTACTATAATCAGTGTCATAACTGAGTTTGGCCATGTCGTCAGGCTAGTTTGCGTCTCTGTTGAGTAGCTGTCCGTTAGTCATTCACTCCACAGCAGGAAGTGGGACTTAAAAATAAAATCTTTGTGCCTGAAATTCGCCGTTCTTCAAATATGTTCTTCAACATGCTGACCCCATACGTCCAAAACTGACACAGGAGGATACTTAGCCTGTCATATTTTGATGTGGAGCCCCAGAAGCCACACAACACATGATTTTATAAATTTTTTTTTGGACATTTCATGAACATTTTTTTGGCCATTTTTAAAAAAAGGTCATTTTTGTCAACATTGTTTAAGAATTTTTTTTAATATTTTAAGGACATTTTATGATTTTTTTTTCAGGCATTTTATTCATATTTTTTTGGACATTTTGTCAGCATTATGTCTCAAATTTAATGAACATTTTTTTGGGGACATATTATGAATTTTTTTTGACATTTTAATAATATTTTCTGGATATTTCATTAACATGTTTTTGGACATTATTAATATTTTTAGGACATTTCATCAACATTTTTTGAGGTATTTTATAAACATTTTTTGGTCATTTTAATAAATTGTTTTCGGTCATTTTATCAAGATTGTTTCAGACATTTTAAATATTTTTTGGGACATTTTATCAAGATTGTTTTGGGCATGTCATATTTTTTTGGACATTACTGAACAAGTTTTTAGACATTTCATTAACATTTTTTGGAACATTTTAATAATATTTTTCGGGCATTTTATTAACTTCTTTTGTATATTTTAATAATATTTTCTGGACATTTCATTAACATTTTTTGGACATTTTAATAATGTTTTTTGGACATTTTATCAACATTGTTTTGGGCATTTTAATTACATTTTCTAGACATTTCATGAACATGTTTTTGGACATTATTAATATTTTTTGGATATTTCATTAACATTTTGGGGGGTATTTTATGAACTTTTTTTGGCCATTTTAATTTTTAAAAAAATTCAGTCTTTTTATCAACATTGTTTTGGGCATTTTAAATGTATTTTCCGGACATTTCATTAACATATTTTTGGACATTATTAATATTTTTAGGACATTTCATCAACATTTTTTGAGGTATTTTTTAAACTTTTTTTTTTTTTTTGGACATTTTAATAAATTGTTTTCATTCATTTTATCAACATTGTTTCAGACATTTTAAATATTTTTTGGGACATTTTATGAACATTTTTTCAGACATTTTATTCATATTTTTTGGACATTTAATTAACATTTTTTTGGATATCATTTCTCAAATTTAATGAACATTTTTTGGACATTTAATTAACATTTTTTACAACATTTTAATAATATTTTTCGGGCATTTTATTAACTTCTTTTGTATATTTTAATAATTTTTCTGGACATTTCATTAACATTTTTTGACATTTTAATAATGTTTTTTGGACATTTTATCAACCTTGTTTTGGGCATTTTAATTACATTTTCCAGACATTTCATTAACATGTTTTTGGACATTATTAATATTTTTTGGGGTATTTTATAAACTTTTTTTGGCCATTTAAATTAAAAAAAAAAATTCAGTCATTTTATCAACATTGTTAATATTTTTAGGACATTCTATTAACATTTTTCAGACATTTTATCAACACCCCTTCTCCACCCCTGCTAAGTTAGTCTTTAAACTACAACAAAAAGTACAAGACACAGACATTTTGTCATGTTTTACTGCTCAGTGAGTCTGTCCTGCTGATCTGTTGACGCTCATTTTATGACATTGGAGGCTGTCCATAGATAATCACTGGCCCCATGTGCATTTATAATTGCTGAGCTGCTTTGGGTTCAGTTTGTTGTCTCCAGTGTCTCCCAGGATGCACTGCTCACTGACTCACCCTGCTGTCAGGATATTATCACTGGATGATTTACTGTGAAGAGCTAAACATCTTCATCTAACAGATCAGTGTATGTACCAGTCCTTGATATGAGAAATATCTTTGCAACACTTTCGGTTATCTTTAAAACTGCAAGCACGAGTGAACAATGGAGGAAATTTTTCAGATCAGTCTGGGTGGAGAATAGGCTTGTGCCAACATCAGTAAATCAAACTGTGACATCACTGCTGTCATTAACTCCCAGTGCTGCTGATGTCTTAACAAGCTGCTGACAGCCAACTCACCAATTAAATTCATTACAGCCTCAGCTGTGTCTGCCTCCCCACAGGACCACCGTGTCATGGCGGCTCCTGCATCAGCCACTCTCCTGCGTCAGACACACGCTGGACCCCGGGTCACTTCAGTTCACCTCCACAAATAAGACAAAATGGTCACAGAGACACAAACTAATGGTGCGTTCAGGTGCTCGTCAAAGCTGTGACACCAAGTATGACATCAATAACGTATTGTGATTAACATGTTCAGGCTCTACCAAGAAGAAAGACACACGATTTTACCAATATTTTTTTGGACATTTCATTAACATTTTTTTCAGGTATTTTATTAACATTTTGGGGGAAATTTTAATACATTTTTTGGGACATTTTATCAAAATTGTTTCAGACATTTTAGGATGTTTCATGAACATTTTTTTTGGACATTTTGTCAACATTATTACACAAATGTGATTAATATTTTTTGGGACATTATAATTAACCCTTTTTAGACAGTTAAGTAATATTTTTTGGAACATTTTAATAGTATTTCTGGGACATTTTATTAACTTTTTTGGACATTATTAATATTTTTAGAACATTTCATTAACATTTTTTCAGGATATTTTATTAAGATTTTTTGGACGTTTTAATAATTTTTTTTTCGGACATTTAATCAACATTGTTTTGGACATTTTTAATATTTTTAGGACATGACATTTTTTAGACACTCTATTCATATTTTTTTTTGACATTTAATTAATTTTTTTTGGACATTTTGTCAACATGATTTCTCAAATTTAATTACCATTTTTTGGGACATTAAAATTTTTCAGACATTTAATTAACAATAATATAATGATATTTAATAATATCATAATAATAATGTTTTTGGACATTATTGATATTTTTATTTATTATTTATTTTATGAACATTTTTTTAAAACATTTTTCAAAAATTTTATTGACATTTTTCAAACATTTAATTAACATTTTTTTCAGACATTCTAATATTTTTTGGAATTTTGTTGACATTTTTGTGACATTTTAATAATATATTTTTGGACAATTTATTTACATTTTTTCAAACATTTTATTAACATTTTATTAACATTTTTCAGATATTTAATTTAACATTTTGTTAGACATTTTAATAATATTTTTTGGAAATGTATTGACATTTTTGGGACATGTTGATAATATTTTTTGGGACATTTAATTTAATATTTGTCAGATATTTCATTAACACCTTTTTGGACATTTTATGGTATTTTATTTTGGAATGCCTGGTTTCCAGTAAGAGCCACAGTCGTCATCTACTCAGAAAAGGTCAGGAAATTCAAGAGATGAAAGACCCCTCTTCTTTAAATCACCAGCCAGGAGCTACTACACTGTCAAGACAGAAATCTAAGGCACTCTTTAAGGTCCAGTGCAACACATTGTCACTCCGACCTCGTCACATTTTGACGTTTTGGTCATGGACTTCTCCACGTTAGGATTTCCTTATTGTTCATTGTTCAGGTGGTTTTTACCAGGAGCCAAATTGTCCACAGAGGACTCTTCCTTTCCAGAACAAACAGCGCAGATGAAGAACTGTCTGATTGTGCCATTGAACAAATCTGCTACACTACACATCCCAGCAGACATGACACATCTGACTTACCACAGTTTAGAGAGACAGATCCTTCCTACGCTCCTGTCAGCTGAGTGACCAGGTTTATGTGATGCTGCCCTCTTGTGTTCAGATGGCTCTTGTTTAGTGGCTGGGATGCAACTATGACAGATATTTGGAGACAAATTTAATTTAATCATGGATGGAAAAAAATGTACATGAACACTTCTGGACTGAGGCTTCAGATGTTGTTCCAGGAATCTGCCGGAGCCACTCTCCCAGTTTGGGGATCACTGCCCCAAGTGCTCCTACGACCTCAGGGATCACGTCAACTTTGACCTTCCACATCTGTTCCAGCCATTCTTTCAGCCCCTTGATACTCTTTAGCCTCTTCAACCCTTTACTCTTTGACCTTTGATTCTTCTCCAC